GGATGGGAGAAGAGGGATTTTTTTTAGAGACAAAGGATGAAATATAAATTTCTGTAAGAAAGATTCTGCTAAGGTACAGAAGATGGTATTGTAACATTTATATTTGAAATAGTAAATTAGAATGGTTTAAGATTTAATAAGAAATTAAAATGTTGAAGTTTTTAATAATGATTGATTTTTAAAATGTAATAAAATATCGAAGGAAAGGAGGATACAATGTATTTAAACATTTTTGGTGGATAGAATGTACCAAGCAGAACCAAATTGGGTATTTGTTATGCTGAATGTTAATTTTACTAACTTAGGGGGAGGATAGAAAGGCATCATACTCTGATTAGTGATTTCAGGAGAAATTCTTTTTATTACAAGAAGAGATAGAGGGATAATGAATGGGCAAAAGATACAAATTTAATGATTTAATTAAGATGGATTAAATAAGATAGAAATGTGAAGAGTGATATGTGCTATTATTTTAGCCCATGCAAAGAGAGGTAACTGGGGCCAAGGTACTTTACTAAAAGATTTTTTTTATGTTTGTTTGTGTTTGTTTGTGTTTTATGAGAATATTGGGGAAATTATTGTAGAAAGACAGGGAAAGATTTAATATGTAATGATTTGTTTGTTGTTGAAACTTTTAATAAAACTTGTTTTAAAAAAAAAAAGAAATTGCAACTTCGAGCTATTACAAAATATCTATGTGATACTTGTCAGGGCTATTGAGTTAGTGCAAAAGTCTGCTTTAAAGTACAATTTTAATGAGAGAAGAATAGATGTCCTTTTCCACTTTCATTTTATTTCATTTTGAGGATTTGCATATCACACAAGTCCTCTTATTTGAAATGATTTATTATGTGAATTTCTGTCTCAAATTTCAATATGGTATTTGGTCCATTTTCACTGTAGATAGAAGATAACATTGTCACAACACTGTTTTTGGAATAGGAATACATCTAACAAAATGGTTATAAGATAGAAAAATATTACCAAACAAAAATATAAGGAGTACAAAATAAATCTGATAAATGCACTTTTTGTTCTTGTTTGTTTTGATTTTGTTTAACCCAAGATCTATACTCTTTGTAATATATTATCATAAAATTAATGCTTCTTAAAAAGTTGTATCTTTCTGAAGTCATAACAAAAGAATAGCCAGTAATATCCCCAGGTTTATAAAGGAATTATTCTTTATCCAGATACAATATAAAGACAAAATATTATCATTATGATTTATGGTAATCCAAGATATATCTATATATTTTAGATTTCTTTCCTCAAAACAAAAATTTTACTGATAAAAAGTAATTGTTCTAATAGACTACTCAGTCTATTAAAAATTTATATGAAATAACAGATCCTTTAAATGGTTTCAGTAAAAGTCAGCTTTTAATCATATATTTAAAATGACAAATTATTTGATTATGTCAATAGTGTGAAAAGTTTATTTCACTTCTTTATTTTGAAATAAACATTTGATTAATTATTACAATTTGGAGATTCTTCTTTCCAGAGTCTAGTTATATTAAAAGTGTGCAGACACGTTGTGCTAAGGTAATTTCTTGTCCCTTTGTCCTGCAGAAGCAGGCTTTAGGGGAAAATATTTGCAGAGCAAGATGAATCTTTAGAAGGTCAAAACACTGCTTAGAAAGTGCCATTGTTAAGAGCAGTTTAAAAACTTTTCATAACACTCAATTGATGAATGAGGTTGAATTTTTTCAGTTAGTTACATTTTGTTATTTACATTTTCTTTACAAGACTGAATTTTAAATCCACACAATTGATTTTAACATGTATGACATTTTTTCCTGATATTTGCTAAAAGAGATGTTTCTAAAAGGGCTTTCACAATATATTGGAAAATTATAATTTTTACTTCGATTGTCAAATAGAGGTTTCCTATCCTTAGTGTGGGGCATAAAAGGAAGAATAAATGTATCAAAATAGTCAAAATCTACTTAACAAGATATAGCCTAATCTGTTTCCATATAAATATAAAACTCAATAGATGTTTAAAATACCAGGTTTATGCTTTAGATTTTCAGATGTTACAGAAATCAATTTCTGGAATTATCTTTTTTCCCCTCCCTGACAAAGATTTGGGTTTCTCACTTCCTTTTTAAAAAGTCAGTATATGCACTGTTCCTGGCATAGTTATTTAATAAATAACAGCACACATTACCAAAATTAACTTGGAAAACCTACCAATATAATTGCATTAGTTACAAGATGCAGTATTCTACATGCTCTGAGTTGGAAAATTCAGTAGTTTTTGTTTTATGTGGGTTTAAAAAACAGTGATTGGGTATGAGTAGTTTAGATTGAAATGACTTTGTTTTATTCAAAATATGGTTGAAGGATATTGCTATGTCATCCCATTGAAGTAAAATATATTGGTTATATTTTTGACTTAGTCTTCAAATTGACTGTACAACTCATAGATTCGTTTTAAATTATATTCCTCAGTCTACCCCAAATTAGATGTGGAGATAAAATTAGGGATACTCATATATAAATCTTAAATTAGAATAAAAGGGGTTGTGACTTCAGTCGTATGATTACACCTCCCATATTTAGTTTTTTGACATTCTCCTTCCTGTAGCATCCCTGACTCCTAGGAATAAAATGTCAGGCCCCAAGATCCAAGAGTAAGAGTTACTTCTGAGTAGTTTCCTTTATTGCCCTTCACCTATAAACATGAGATGAGGTGACTCAGTGGCTTAATGACCCCGGAGTTGGTCTTTGCTGCAGCAGTTTGAGTCCCAGCACTGCATGGCAGGTTGACATTTGTCACTTGCCTAGCAGTTTGAAAGCATGTTCTATGCAAATATATAAATAGGTACCAGTTTGGTTGGGAGACGAACTGGTGCTTCATGCAGGAATCAGATTCCTGCTGGTTCTGAAAAACTTCCTGGTCTGCAATTCCCATTTGCAAGGCAGCTTTGGTGGAAAGAGGGGGCCTAGATGCTGCTGTAGGAAGAGCCACTTGTCTTCTTTTCTGGTGCAAAGGTAGCTCTCCGTCCTGTGACACATCTTGGGAAGCGCATGAGCATGTACCACAAAAGAGCTAGTAAATTGGCAATCAAGCTGCTACTATGATTAACATTGTAGTCTCCTAGCTAATGTAACAAATGCTATACAATAATAATAATAATAATAACATAAACATATAAGAATCTTGCCAGACTATTTGCATAAGATGCCTCTTTGTCCTCTGAAAAGCAGTCCTTTCTCTTGGGAATCCAGACTACATTCACCACAACAGATAATTAACGTTATGCAAATTATTCAAGCATAATTGTCATTTCAGGTGTTCTAAATTTGCACCAAAGCCTGGGTTTCAAAAGTTTTATTTTGAGGCCAGAAGAGAGCCTGTTTAAGTGTTGTTTCAGTGGAATACAGATGATATGACAGTCCCATGTGGAAGCTGTTTTTCTCCAACTTAAAAAAAAAAAGCAGATTCCCATTTTGGAAGCAAAAAGCGAAAAAAAAGGAAAAAAAACCAGAGAAAAGTGAGGAAATCTATGAAATACTCCAGTGCAGGGCTGTCAAACTCTTGTGTCACATGCTGGCCACACCCACACCTGGTTTAGTGAAGGGGGAAAAAGTCCCAATACATCACATGACGCTGACGTGCCGACATGAGTTTGACATCCCTGCTCTAGTAATTCATTTTCTGATTTCTCCTGGATTTGAGAAACTATGAATGAAAAAAAAAAGGATATTTGTTAACTATAGGATTTCTTTTCTTTCTGTTCACCAGACCTCCTTAAGCTATAGTGTCCACTTTCTGAACATTTCTAGATGGGATGTGATTGAATGGAAATATTCTGGTTCAGCAACATTAGAAGAGCTGCAAGCTACCAAGCAGCACTTAAGAACCATAGCCTGGAATTGGCTAAAGTTGCATTGATGGACTATTGCCAATTAATAGAAATGAAGAACTACATTCAAACATGCATGATATAAAAATGTAGATGCTTTATTACTTCACTAGGAAAAATCCAAAATGCAAAAGTCAGATAAGGTAATCACTTAAAGAGCAATGGAAATGTCACAAAGTTCTGAGCAAGCTTCTGTTCACAAGAATTTCTCTTTAGAGTAAAGTTTAAACAAAATATGGAGAAAGAAATGGGTTTAACCTCTAAATATGTCATCTTACATAGAATGCAGGAGTAGTGCAGGTTCAATAGGATCAGTTGTTGCTAAGTGCTAATTTTAAATTGTGCTAGAAGTACAAAGTAATATAAGGTGTCATTCAGGTCTGTTTCCACCTCAATGACTGTGGCTGAACTAAAAGTCAGGAAAATTGTTACCAGGGGCTAATAATTTTAAAAAGCATTATTTTGGTCTTGAGAACTGCAGGTATGGTTAGTGATTTTATAATGTTGCCTGACTGATTTAGAAGGTTTTGTATAAGCATTAAGGTACCAATTTTTGTCACTAATATGTTGGGCCTATCAACTCTATGGTTATATTTGGGTGGGAGTGGGGATACAAAAGGATATTAGATGAATTTGTAGTTATTCTGCCTATTTTATACCATATTAAGACATACAGCTTGAAATTCATGGACAAACCCTCATCGCAAAGATCTACAGTTCTGATCTTTGTAAGGAGTTCCAGTGTAAGCATTTAAAGCTTCTGTCAATGTGAATTAATAATGCTTAAATTCTGTAATGAGAAAGGGGAGCTTAGGGATTTAGATAATGTACATTATGTTTAATAATACTGTATTTGACTATTTTTCTGGAATGTTTTTTTTAATGCTAGATGAGGTCTGGGAATCCAGTAGTCAATATAATTGACTAAATACCTTGTTTATACTGTGCTTATTTTTCTTTCCTATTGGATAAATTTCCTACATTGACAACTAGAGATGTTGTTTATGTATCAGTGTTAGTTCTCATTTTACAGAAATGATGCGACATTTTTAAAATTTTGTACTAAATTCTAATGCTAATTTATGATATATATTGATGTAAAATATTCTATTTTAATAGCACATTGGCTTTATTCTTGCTAACAAAATTTTGTATTAAATGTACCACTGAAATGTTTTCTTGTATGATCAGTGAAATAGTGCAGACGTAAGTATATGGACTTTGGAGATTGCCTTCTCCCAGCCAGCTGTATTCTAAAAGTAGACTGAAATTCTAGAATGCTCATTTTCATAAGCTCACAAAGTAGTTTGAGCATCTATTCTAGTACCATTTAAATCAGTTTTGATGTCAACTTATTGACATTAATAATTAGCTCAATATTGCATAAATAAAACATGATCATGATTATTAGATTTATAATAATTGGACTGATATAAGTAGGCCTGATCTGTCATTGCTGTTCTAATGAGATCTTTGTGGTCCAGTGGAAAACGTAAATGACTAAAGTCAACTGCCTTTTAACTGTTTAATGCATGTTAGCAAAGCTGACTAAAACAGGAAGCCCCCCCTTAGCTGATTATTTTCATGCCTGCTATCAATTGTATCATTGTTTACTATAGTTATTTCCTGTCTTTTCTCTTGAAAGCTTAAAGGGCAATACCTAGGATCTCCTCTAATTTTATGCCTACAATAACTACGAGGTGGGTGAATTTGGTTAAAAAAAGAATAATCTACCCAATGAATTATTACCCAATCTACCATAATGAATTATGTGAACTGAATATTGATTCTTCTCACATAACTCTATAAAGCAATGTTGTTTTACACAAGGAGTTGCTCAGTTTTTTCATGACCAGCTTTTCAACTTTCTTTTTATTTGGTATCTGCTAAAGATGGAAGTTATAATAATTGCAGTCTAACAGAACTTGATGTCACCAAGTTGGAGATGCCTTAGATAGTGGCACAAGTAGGCTAACAGGAAGGTATTGGACATTTTATGCATTTTCTCAACACCAACCTTGCCCAATGGTTCACATGTCAAGCTGTTTTCTTGTTTTAATTACAAGTTATAGAATAAGGACTGGATTGACCCATCATGCTAAATTATAAGTTGGTGTGAAACAAATCTGTTTGGAAATGCCTGAATATATGAGAAAAATGCAATTGGGATTTGTTTACAATGCACTGTTTAAATATATGTGGTTATCTTCAAAATACTCTTTTGACATTTAATAACTGGGCCCTTCCTGTGACTCAACAATTTTTTTCATTTCATGAATACATGAACTTGGAAATTTTTTCTATATTTTTTATTGTTTTGCTTATAGTATCTGAAAATTCTCTACAATAATTCATAAGCATTCATAAAAGGTCTGTTCCTCCAGTCAAAATCATGCTGTTGCAGAAAAGTAGGAACATAGGAAATAAAATTCAAAATTATTTTTAAATTGCTGCTTCCCATAAGAGAACTTGATGTGCCTTGTCCAATCTTGATCTTTCTTTGAGAAAGTAACATTTTATTATAATAGGAGCCATTGCAATTTTCATTTGTTATTTGAATTAGGAAGACTGTTTCCTATATTGAAAAAAAAGATTCACAGAACAATGTTGCTGCTATATATAAATAGAGGGAGTACAACCATAACAGGAAGATGGAGATTTTAAAGCAACAAAACCTGCCTTTATGAACAAAGAAGCTATATACAGCATTGTTCTTTTGAAGCAGTTAGAAATTCTCTAAACAGACTGGCTTATGTAAATAAGAGTTTTGGTCAAGAAGTCAGCCATTGTTTAGCATTCTTTAACAATGACAGCAACAATAAGGGTATTGTATGGATTATTCAGGCATTGCATTGACTAAGCAAATAACATTGCCATTAGAAATGCAGTTGGAGATACTGCAGTATTTACTCTTAACTTAAAATATTTTCACAAGCAGGGGTTAATTTTCCATCTGAAAATTGCATTGAACTTTTAATTTCAAGGGAAATATTTATGGGGTTGCTTTATGATAGAGGAGCTTTTTCCATCTGCCTTTTTAAGGCTTAAAATACAAAAGCTATCTCATAAGCTGTTATGTAAGGTTAGCCCAGATTTTAAAAATAAAACATTCAACTCTTCCCAAAACTTGGAAAAAGAAATGTATCTATGTGGAAGACCTGTCCATTGTGCATCGTAACCTGCCTACTGCAGCTCTCAGCTCTTCCAAATTTTCTACCTAGGTTTATCCAAAGCCCATATTTTAAATATTTGTCAATGACACTCAACTTAGAATAAAAAAGTCAAACTCAGATGCCCACAGTAAACTTCTTGATCCAGAACCTTTTCATCCATGCTGCTGCAATCTAAACCAGAGCAAAAGGGAGAGAATGATGAAGTGGTCTGAATGCTGAAGAAGTGCCAAGTTCCTTAGGAGTAATTGTTTGTCAGCAGTAAGTTAGTTAAACAACTGTTAAGCTAAGAGGGTGCTTGGCTATGTAGAGCTTAAGTAGGCACATGGCTCATTGAACAAACAGAATATGTGGTTTCCCACAATATGCTATGTTCTTATAAACTAACGGGAGCTAGCTAAAGTCTTAAATTTTTAGGAGTCTACTAACTGTGCTTTAATTTGGCAATGTAGTGCTGGCTTCAACAGGGCTAGACCTGACTTACATTTTTGCTTGTTTCTTGTGTGGTAGCCTAATTGCTGTTCTTTGAACTTGGGTCTGTCTGATTGCCCCTCAATACATGGTGGAGCTACCCAGCCTGAAAGATCTTCAACATGTGAGGGAGACTCCAAGTTTCATCAGACTCCATAATTCCATGTGGGACTGTTTGCAGTATATACCAGATCCACCTTGTCTGGGAGATCTTTATGTGTGTTATACTTTGGGCAAATAGTCTGGAATGGTTTTCATATTAGACATGTTTAGTGTCCACCAGCAGAAAGCCTGCATAGCACACCCAAAGACTGCAGGAGGGTCACTTCTGAAAAATTATCCAGGATTTTCTGCAGCATTTGCCAAAGCTACCCAGCTTGGAAGCATTTTATTGTCTGCCAATGATTCTTACGTTTTTTTAAATTTCTTTTACATAATTCAAAACCACATTAGTATGGTTTAAGGCTACTTCTTTGTGAATTCCAGGCAATAACCTCTGTACATGCATCCTTTTCTTTCTTACAATGAAAGACAAGATTACAATAAGAAACTGAACAGATTCCATAAACTATCAAAGCAACCATGTGCTTGCAACAGAAAGAACAACCAGGTTATTATGAGATACGCTTACATAATTGTGGTAGGTAGTTCTTCAACATACCTACCAAGTAGTGGCTAAGAATGAAAGGATTGTTCTATTGTTTGTCCTAGATACCTGTGATATTAGAGCCTAATATATTTCCTAAGTTGGCTGGGCCTGTGAATCTTAAATCAATTTGCAACAGACATTTAAACTCTGTGGAAATCTGTTCACGGTAATACCTACCTATTCACAGCTATGGATTGGACATAATTTATCCAAGATTATCCAACCTGATCTTTTAAATTCTAATTAAGAAATATGTAATATTATTTTGAAGTTTGTCAGGCTCAGTGAAATGTGGTCCTCCATTTTCCGAGCAAGCTGAAAATGACAACCCTCTCTTACTCCATTATATCACAACACTGTGACCAAAATAAATGAACAGTGTGTCAGACCTCACACCATGCCTAAAGTGATATTATCTGGGTGTTCTGCCACTGATGAGAATCAGACAGCAGAACTAAAACCTTAAGACTACTACTCAGTCCTTTATGCTATCCATTAGCATAGCAAAAACTACTGTGATATTTTAATACATTAATACACCCTTTATGATTGCAATTAGTTTCATTTAATGCATAGAGAATATCAACTAAGCTTTTAATAAAAGAAGTGATATAAATCTATCACAAAATTATGTTATTCTGACAATCTTAACTTTCTATAGCCTTTTTCTATAGATGAGAGTTTAAATAATTAGTATGTGTCGACCTGTGCTGTTAAAGTCTGGTTAAATAAAAAAAAAAAAAGTTTATTATTAGCAAGGTAGATCTGCTTTCCTGACTTTAATTTAGAAGTTCCAAATGATAATGTTGCAGAGAACCAGAATTACAAGCATGATTGGATTAATAAAGTTAGCATTTTAGAAGGTAAACATACTGATCTCAATCACTAAATTGACTGAACTCAGGGATATTAAATGGAGAGAAACAATTGTAGCCATATGTGTTTGGGACTATACTTCAAACTGTGCATTGTTATGGATTAAATAGAAAAATAGAAAAATTATTTTATGTCCAATATTATTTATAATTTTGGACAGAAAACCATGCAGTAATGCTTAAAAGATTAAATAACCTAATTGCTGTTATATACAGCACAGAAATTAAAACATTAACTCAATTTCATCAAAAGGTATTTTAGAAATTAGTGATACAAAACAAATCTCTTTGTGGATCAGTGGTGACCTCCAGTGGCTGCAATTGCTATTCTGTCTGAATTTGTAGTCAAGCTGTAATCTACTCAAGTCCAATTCTGTTTAGTACAGGGGTCGCCAACCTTTTGGACCTCAGGGACCAACACTCATAATTTTAAATCCCACAGACCAGAGACTCTGGGAAAATCCCCAAAAAAGTCTGCCAGGAAAATTCCCCACCCCGTTTTCCTACCAATTGATCATTCTTTATTTGGGATCGCAGGATACTGTCTCCAGCTCTGTTTTCAGGGGGAAAGAGAGAGAGAGACTTTTGGCTTCATGCAAGGAAAGCAGCAGAAGTCTTTCTCTCCCCCAAACTCCACCAGAAATGAGTCTTTGTGAGACTTGTTGTGCCGGCACAGCCTCTTGGAGCAGGATGCCTTGCAGAGTCCCAAAAACTCATTTCTGGCGGAATTTGGGGGAGAGAAAGAAAGACTTTTGCTGCTTTCCTTGTGTGCAGCCAAAAGCAGAAGAAAGAAGCAGCCTGGTGGCCAGGCATGTGGGGCAAGTTCCCCCCCTCCACCCTTTCCCCTCTTCCCTCACTACCATGTGTTGTTCTCAAATGCAAGTGATGCAAGCCTTGTGTTCCTGCGCAGCCTGGATTAATTGCTTTGAGGGGTGCTTTGGGGGTGACATTTTTCTGTGCATCACCAAAATTTTCTCACAGTCCACGAGTGGTCCCCGGCCCACTGGTTGGTGACCACTGGCTTAGTGTTTTCATGATCAGCTAAGATCACTCTATGCTGTATCTTATTTGATGAGTTTTTTTAAATGGAGCAAGGAGAAGAAAAAAGAAAAATTAAACCTGAAAATTCATATTCTGGAATCATTAAAGTTTTTAAAACAATTCTTAGATGTTTTACTTTGCATACCACAATAATATTCTTTTCATATATTTGTAGGTATTAGGCTTGCTAGTGTGGATGTTGATTATTGGAACTGACTATTTTCTGTACCCTGTCTTTGGATGGATAATGTTTGTGGCTATATTTTACTGGATTCTTACACTCTTTTTTTTGATCATCTATATGACAATGACCTATACGAGGATACCTCAAGTGCCATGGACCACAGTTGTGAGTATTTGTTCATTTTTTTACAAGCAACTCAAATATTGCAGAAAAGAGAGACCTATCTATAGCAGCCTTCCCAGAACAAGGGTAGTGGATGAGGCCATAATATTTGGCTTGGCTTTGTTAGATTAAGGAGATGGATGCAGAACCTTATGCAGTTCCCTTAAGAAAATGCATAACATATTCTAAGTGGAACTGTATTTCCCAATTTTGCAGGGAGAATTCCAAGCATCTTTTATTTGCTTGACCAACTTATGTCAAATGTTCTGCTAGCATAGCATCATTTTATGAAACACTCCATACCACCTGAGCCATTTTTTTTAAAAAAATGTACATATTAGTTTGACAAGGAAATATTAGTTAAATGGAGATTAATATTTTCCCATGTATTAACCACCAAAAGAATATCTGCAAGAAGCTTGTCTTTTCTGATAAATTAGTCTATAATTTCCCTGGCAGTAGTGGGTTGAAAGGCAGCATACTCGAATTTGATCCACTGTTTTGTATGCCACATTCAATTATTATTCACTCAAAATCACTGTCAAGAAGCGGGCTGAAGCAGGATATATACACAGAAAAATTGAGATCACTAGTCTGAACACATATACCTTCTGCCTCATTTAGGTTGACTTATCACAGCCATTGTGATCTTCAGCCCTGCCAGAAACCTATAATTGTTTTAGCCAGCTCTTGACTCAACTATGAGGGCTACTGTTTGACTGTTTTGTTGTAATCACCAGTGTCTTAGGCCATCCTGGTATCACATGAAGCTGTGTACACAACAATGGGAAGGGTACAGCTTGTAAGTCTTATTTAGGAGAAAGGTTTTCCTCTTCCTTTTTAATCAGTAGGTTGGAGACTTTTCTCACCAGCAAACTACTTTGAGAAATTATGTTCCCTAAGGCAGTGGTCCCCAACCTTTTTTGTGCCAGGGACCAGTTTCACGCAGAAACACTTTTTCAAGGACCGGAGGGGGGGGAGTCCGAGTTTGGTTGTTTGCTTGCAGACGTTTCATTATCTGACTAGGTAACATCTGATGTTGTTACCCAGTCGGGTAATAAAACATCTGCCAGCAAACCACCAAGTTCAGGGAGCGCCAATGCCTCCTCATTGCAACCCTGAGCGACAGATAGTCCCTGCAGGACGGCTGAGAAGCCCCGCCTCTCGGCCCTGCCTTCATCAGCCCCATCCCTCAGGTGTCTCCCTCCCTCCCTCAGCCTCATCCCTCAGGTGTCTGCCTCGTTCCTCTCTCAGTCGCTCTCTCGCTCCTCCACCAGCCCAGGAAGAAACTGCTTCAAAGAAGCCTGCAGGGTGGCTTTTCCTGTCGGCGCAGCTCTTCCGAAGCGCCCGTTCACCCCCACCCCACCGCCCACGGTTCAATCCAGTGCTCCGTTCTGCCTGCCTGCCTTCGTTTCTGGTGGTTTCGGAGCGCAGCTCCTCCGAAGCGCCCGTTCACCCCCGCCCCGCCCCGCCGCCCGCGGTTCAATCCAGTGCTCCGTTCTGCCTGCCTGCCTGCCTTCGTTTGTTTCGGAGCAGCTTCGGCTGAGTAAAAGAGGCGAATAGTTATTATTCTCAGCCGAAGCTGCTCCGAAACAAATGAAGGCAGGCAGGCAGGCAGAACGGAGCACTGGATTGAACCTGGATTGATTGGCGGCGGGGTGGGGGTGAACGGGCACTTCGGGGGAGCTGCGCCGACAGGAAAAGCCACCCTGCCGGCTTTGAAGCAGTTTCTTCCTGGACTGGTGGAGGAGCGAGAGAGCAACTGAGAGAGGAACGAGGCGGGAGGAAACCGAAGCCGCTGAGCCAGAGAGCAGGACAGGCTTTGGTTGTTTCCTCCCTCCCCTCCTTTCATTTGTGTCCTTGATCCCTGATCCCAGCAGCATTCACCGAAGGCGAAGAAAGCCACCATTTTTATTTTATTTTTATTTTCTTTGCGGCCCAGTGCAAAGTGATCCACGGACCGGTACCGGTCCGCGGCCCGGTGGTTGGGGACCCCTGCCCTAAGGTATTAATTCAGACAATATTTAACTGCAGTGGCTTTCTCCCCAACTTGATGCTCTCTAAATATGAGGGAATAAATCACCTTCATGTCCAGCCAGACTGTCTTAAATTAGGAAATGATACAATTGTGCATAGAATGATGTTAGTAGGGAGGAGTTATGCTGATCTCCCCCCCCCTACATCCTGCAGGGTCTGTATTTTAATGGCAGTGCCCTTCTCTTGTACTTAATTGCTGCTATTTCCGAAGCATGTGCAGTCACCAAAGAACCTGACTACCACAATTACAATAGTTGGGCAATATCTTCGGTAAGATCACAATTAAACTTAATATAGCAGTGAGGGAAGAATGTTTTTGCTTTGGTTCATTTACCTCTAAAATCAGATATAAGAAGATTCAAGATAACCAATTATAATTAGACATTCTTAAATGTGTAAACTTTTGTTAAAAGTACTACTTAAGTCCTGCTTTTTTCACCTAGGATGTGCTAATGGCCAGATCAACAAGACCATTTAATACATGTTTATTTCCTTTTTCCTTGCAAATGAACATTTGCAGTGCTATTAATTTTGTGCACTTTTATAGAATAAAGCACCATGGAAGCAAACTTATTGAATACATATTAATACAGTAAAGAAGCATTATGTAACTACTTATTAATCTCTAGTCAACAGCAATCAAAAATCACTTGTTTTCACTAATGTCAATGTGGAATTGCTTCTTGCAAGGATCATCCTTACTATGAATAACATTAAAGCCCAATAATATTTCTTCCACAGAATTTAGTGTCCTGCTGGGTATGGAAACAATGTGATTTTAAATTTATTTTTTTGTATTATCCCTTCTATTATATTTGATTTGAATATAAATAAAAATCTGGCTGAAGATTTTTACTGTTTTCTAATAATTTTGTCTCTCTCGCCTCCTGTCCCCCTCCCCCATGCAGTTCTTTGCTTTCATTGTTGCTTCCTGCTATGGTGGAAATACCTACTTTACTTTTGTATCTTGGAGATCACGGACCTTGCAATAAATATTATCTTCTAATAAAAGAATTCTGCATGTAAATGTTATATAATTTTGATGAAACTATTTAAGTAATGTGGTTTCACTCAAAAATAAAAACAAATAATTCTTTTTGAAAATTATGGAAAGGATAGCTCACCTGACCGAAATTGTTCTACACAAGTTCTTATTAACTTCTTCATTTGAATTAATCATTGTGACAACGCTCAGTTACCACAAACAAGAAGCAGAAGGCAGAAATGATATAGGAGGGAAGAGAAGAAAGCATGGAAGTGGTTTAATGTTGTTTGCACTGGGGGCACTTCCATACAGTATTGTGCCCCTTTGAAAGCTGCTCCAGATCTCAGGATTCTTATCAATAGTGTTGGAGACCATTGTACAACCAGGGCTGCTATCTGATGGGACTGATTTAAAATCTGAAAACTTTTGTAACATGAAAAATATGTATCCTCAGATAAAATACTATAACTAAAATGTTACTCTTTGTATCAACTCATATAATTTCCTTAGTGTATAGTGTTGTAACAAATCAGTACAGTTGTTTCTTCATGAATGTTTTTGTTTAAGCATGCATTTATTAGAAAAATCTACTGTTTTATAGAACCTTCTATTTCTTGCAAATGTGTATAACCTTTCAAGACTGTAGATTTCGATATAAATGGGAATAGTTAATAATTCATTGGGGTACATACATTTAGGGAAGCAATTGAATAAAAAATGCATTACTATAATAATCTTGCACAAGTCTGTAGTGTGATTGCATTTAAAATACTGTGTTCCATTCTAGTAATTGGACCTCACTTTAGATCTGGAAAAGATGCAGAAAAAAAGAATTAAAATGACCAGGGACATGAATAATTAAATTTAAAATGTTATTTTTAATCATTTTTCTTAAACGATAAAAATGTGTTACGTGTTGCTGTATATTGAATAGTGAAAAAGCAGGTAACAATTTTTCTGTTTCTCACAATGCTAGAACGGAAGATTATTACATGACTCTGAATGATATAGGATTTGGAGCAGATAAATAGAGACTACCTTAAACCATTGTATAAGGAATTAAATACAAAAAGAATAGAGGTGCCCATTAGATCAATTGCTGCTGGCAGCATTTCTCTGAAAACTAGTTGCTGAGAAACATCAGTGAAAAAAAAATAAACCTCTATAATCTGTGGTTTCTTTAATCAGAACTCTATACTTTAGATTTAATGTTGGTTACATTAATGAAAAGATGGCTCCATTTTGAGATCCACCTGTGCAGTGATTTTAAAATGCCTGACTAGGGCCTGGAAGTTCAGGAATCAACCCCATCATCAGCCATAACCTGTTTTGGTTCATCACTTAGGGTTACTGTTATGGAAAAATGTGTAAATTGAACTTGTGTGGGAAAGTTTTGATATAAACAAAAATGAATAGTGTGGAAAGTTTTAAAGTGTCATCGTGTTTGCCCTCACTTCCTAAGGTTCTTCACCATGTTGTATAAAAATGATTTGCAGCTCAGCTATCAGTACATTCCCTTAAAAGCAGAAATCTTATTTAGACTTAGGGGTTGTTCTTGCAGCTTTTACATGCAGTTATCTTATGATAAACAAATATATTCATCCTCTGGGGATCTGAACAAACACAATTCTGCATCAGTGGCACAATTTGACCACTTAACACTGTCAAATGTCAGCATTAACATTCCAAAGTTACTGCAACAGAAGCTATGATTGGGGGAAGGGGGAACAAAAAAATTATAATCTTAGGGAAAGTTTTCTTGAGATTTAACACAAAAATATGACAGTTTGCTTTCAGAAATAGCACCAATTTTTAATGATGTACTCATCTATATTAAGCACAAAAAGGGGAATGCTTTTCTTACATATTTCTGGCATATTTAACACAGATGCTTATAATGATGAAGTGGTTAAGGAGCTTGGCTAGAAACCAGGAGACTTCAGTTCTAGTCCCAGTTTATGCATGAAAACCAGCTGTGTGACTTTGGACCAGTTAATCCCTCATTCCAACCCACCTCACAGGGTTATTTATGTGGGGTAATTGAGAAGAGGAAGGAGCATTATATATGTTACTCATGTTATTTTATAAAATAAAAATGAAATTAAAAAAAAATCTTAATAGGAAAATCTTGTCAATCTCTGATTGGTGAATAATAGCACAACACACACACGCACACACACATATGGGCGGTCAACCCATAATTGCAGACTACAAATAAAAATTCCTACAATGTGTTTGAATTGTGCAATGGATAGATTTTACTTGCTTCTGAAAATGCAAGAAAAATTATCTATGGGTTGGGGGAACATCATGGGGAAGGGCTACCCCATTGTTGATGCCCAATGTACCTCTCATGGGGGAATCTTCAACTAATCCTTTCTGGATGTTCGAACTGGATGGGCAGATTTCATTTTGGCAAACTTGCTATTGCTGTTGGTGCCAATTGTATCTAAGAGTTGTATAGATCTCTGTCAGCCCAGCGCAGCACATGGGCTGCCATTCAGAGGGGTGGCCTCGACCTCCCCAGCCCCAAACTACACGGACCGCCGCGTCTTTCCCAAGCTGCGTAGCGGTTACTGCTGGGGCTGCGGCGTCTTGGGGAGTGGCCATGTGCTGTCCAGCCAGGTATAGTTAGTTAGGAATTGGGAGCTGTCCCCTTAAGGGAATGCATCATTGTAGTTAAGGTATCCTGGGAAATGTAGTTCATGTCATGTGGCCACATCTGTAATCCTGATTGGTCACTGAATTGATCCTTGGTGGGTTGGGGGAGGTTTCTTCACTCTTGCTCGGACCCTAGCTTCGGGCTAGCTCTTCTCCTTTGGCTCTATTACTATGGGATGAAATAGGGGAAAAGATTACTATCATTTTACACTATGATATCAACTATGCAAAGAATTGGAAATTAGATGCATCTCAACATAACTGTGAGTTACCTTGAGGATACCTAATATAATCCAATAAAAGAAACTTTGTATGGAAGAATTTGTAGAGTTATCTGTCTTTATATTCAGCAAGTGAATCAAAGGACAGAATAGTAAAATCATATGTAGATCTGAATTCCTGCAATCCCTCAGTAAAAAGACAGTTAATTTGGACTCCTAAAAGTAAAGAATTGTTGTTATATCGGAATCCCTGTGAAGATTAATAGCAATTTGATTTCCTGTGATAAAGACAAAGATATATTGAAGCTAGGAGTAAATGTGGAATGCTAAGCTCTCTGTGCCTTGTTCTCCTTTGAAACAACAAACTTTCAAAGCCAGCGTGAATTGGCAGGGAGGGGCAAGAAATCCACCCCTTCTCCTTTTTCTCAAGAGACTTTCAAACTTCCTATTCTGTTGCTTAATTTGCATCTTCCCATTGTTGACCAAAGTAATGAGAGAATTTGAGTGGGGCATGGACTGTTTTCCTCGGACCAAAGTTTAAAAAATAGTTTGAATTTGCTGAATCAATGTCTGTTTGCAAAAGGAGAAGGAATTGAGGCAAGAAGCCAATATTTCCATTAACCACAAAGGAATGAGGAAAGTTCACAGGAAGAGGGCTATCAAAATTCCTCATCTCCATAGAAACGGACTGCTAGTGAAGTAGATAGCCATTGTGTTCAAGCTCTTACAAATGTAGATGTGAGAGGTCTCTAAGCCTACTTTGTCAAGAGGAAGTGGCTCATAAAAATACCTAGCAGCTAGCCATCTCCATAGAAATGGGCTGTAATCCCCCCCCTTTTTTTCTTTGAAGACAGAGTTTTAAAGAGAATTACAGTTTGCCATTCATCCTTCCAGGTACAGTCAAAAGGATTCGTTCTTTCTTCTGGATTTAAAAGGCTATCTATAAAATTAAAGGATATCAGTCTACATTACTTAGCTAACAGAAATTATCTAACCACAGCGTTCATGCAATGGATAAAAGTATTCCACATTTTTAATGACTTTTCTTTCCAGTCTAATGCCAGCCTATAGCACCATCTGGTGGTCAAGTAGAAATTTCACAGAGAATTTCAAAACAATTTTTTTTTTCGTGGCAAGTAATGAATTTACAGGAGGTTTCCTCATTTTAGCCAGTGTTAAACCAATGAATTTCATAGGAACATTCTATTTTATCTGGCAACCCCTGGTGACTTAATCCAGCACCATCTGCAGCCCAATCTGTGCTTAGCAACAGTGTCTCCCAGACTTTGCAATGCACCTTACAGCGGCCAAATTGTGTACTTTGTCAGCATATCCCAGATCTTGCAACACACATCTCTAGTGGTCAACCACTGAAATTTGCAGAACTTGCTCAATTCAGCCACAAATCTACAACACCACCTATGTGCTCAAGTACTGAATTTAGCAGAAGTTGTTACATTCAGTTACCTGCTTGCAGCGTACACTAGTGGAAAAAGGGAAGTGCACAGAAAACCACTAAATTTTCCAAATTCACCTTTCGCCAATTTGAAGCATGGAAACGTCTTCAGCCACGACAGATGTCTCTGATGTACCAGAGGACTCGAACCCTCCACCCACCTTGATGTAAACATGGAGCCTGGTTCCCTAAACCCAGAATCGGAAGTCCACAACTCGGGAGAAGCAGCTGGCTATGACATCAGAAAGAATAGGAAGCTTATAGAGAACCCATGGAGGCACACTTGAAAGAGGATTGGGAGAGGCAATATCACCACTATGCAGATTCATGGTTGGAGCTAGAGGAGATCTGCGAACCCCCCAAATGCAAGCTGTCCCCCGAGATAATCCGCACATTGCTAGATGATCTAGATGCCCTTCTCACAAGGTGGAGAACCAGTGAAGATAAATTCAAGTCCATCCAGTCAAGACCGGGTGACCCAAAACTCCAAGCACACGTCCAATGCTTCAAGGAGTTTCACAAGGAACGCGAAGACTGCATTCAAGAAGGAAAAAACTCCCTCCAGGCCGCATTCTACAATGCACTACAGAGAGAACAAGTATCAAGGGAGAGGGCCACATCCGACATAGGTTTTCAATCACAAGCAGCTTCTTCCTGCTATTCTAAGAAAGCCTCCTCCCTCCATCCCAAACCGGCTAGATTGCAAGCAGGTTCCAGTGTCTCGCGCCAATTCTCTGCTGCTGGGTCTCGCCATCCTTCCAGAGCACCCTCCCGTCACAGCATCGCATCTAAAGCCTCCAAAACTGCAAGTTACGCTGACTGAGCTATACAAGGTGAGATAGAAGTGGTGGTAGCAGAAGCAGATTTATGTATCACGATGGAGGTGACACGGCAGAAGGCAGAAATGGCCAAAGCTCTGGCCAAACAACAGGCAGAAATAGCCAAAGCTTAGCCCAAGTGGAATTGCTTGAATGACAAAGAGAGACAGCAGCAAAAACAGCGCAGGCCGTAGCATGGCGGAAGGTGGCTGACAACGCCTCCTTCAACTTCGACCTCGATGAGTTGGGCGAAGAGAGCCCAGATACACCGGTCAAGCCCAGGTGGATGAGCAGCAATCGCTACAAAACGAGCAGGTGGAACCACCTCAGTCACTTAGAAGTCTCCTACAACCTGGGAAGCACAAGAGTGAATCTCAACCACAGACCCTAAACGTCAGTCATGCAACTGACTTTGTAAGACCTAAAATATGAGATTCACTTCCCACCAACAGCAAACCTTCCCCAACTGATGTTGTACGACCTAAAGTCCGAGATTCTCTTCCCAGAATCAGCAAACCTACCCCAATGTCTCACAGCCTGCTGGGCAAGCAACTTAGCCCACCAGTGATCACAACGACTTCTCAACAACTAGACATGCAACCAACCACAATTGCCACCCTCAATCCACAGTCAAAAGAGTTCTTGCCACAACTGCAAGACAACTCTAATGCACAGCGTGGAACCTACACCCGACTTCAAGAGGTTCTACCTGCATACGTGGGGCCGAATAATGGCCTCCTCATAAAATACTCTGAGGAGAATCACATACCGTCCACAAAGCATACCCTCAAGCCACAACGCTATGCCTACGAGGGCGTCATACCAAGAGATGACCTGCCCTCATAAAGAAGTAACAGAGAACTGCCACTAAGATGGGGAAGGTTGGACTTAGCAGCTAGCAGTGTGTACAAATTCAACGACCAGCCAGGCAGAGAATACCTTCTGTGGAAGAACATTTTCACAAGTACCATTCAACCCGAACGGCTGCTTCCCGGAGAAGAACTTAAAATTTAGTTAGCATGGCTAGGACCACGGTCTAGTTACATGGTGAAGCACATTTATACAGGCATACTCAACGACCCAGGGACCACTCTAAAATGAGCGTGGGATGCTTTGGACCAAAAATATGGTGATGACACATTGATGGAATATTTGCTCCTAGAAAAACTTGACCGTTTCCCATGTATCCACGAAACCCAAAGAGTAGAGGAATTTTGCAACATCCTTACGGAACTGCGAACAGCCAAGGAATGTTCTAACTTACCAGGACTGGCTTGCCTTGATCTCTTCATAACGCAAGAAGGAATCATTGCCAAACTCCCAAAAAAATATTGGAACAAAGGATTGTTTTGTCTGATGCCTTTCTTGCCACAAACCGCAAAAGAGAACCACCTTTTGCCCTTTTCCAAGAATTTGTTGTCCGGCAAACAGAGTCCTGCAACAGCTTTAGAAACCTCTGCCTCAGACGCAGATTCCTTCCAACTAACAAAGAACACAACCGAAACTCTACACCTCGCAAGGTTATATTGCAAATTGCTAGAGATCACAACCTCGCTACAACAAATAAAACAGGAGTCGCGACCTCCATAAAGAATTCGGGAGAGGACTCATCAGAAGCAACCCAATTTAAGCCTCTGACTCCAGAGAGGCCAGTTTTGCCTGTTGCACAACTGTCGACACTCCCTGAACAGGTGCCAGGGGTTTGCAGTGAAATCCCTGACCCAAAGGAAAGATTTGATAAGGGAGTTCCAATTTTGCTACAAGTGTTGCGAATCGAAACACCCAGCCAAAGACTGCACAGCCAAGGTGCAATGTCATCTATGCAACAGCAATGAGCACTCAGCCGCTCTGCATCCAGACAAACACAGCAGACAAACACATAACCCTCCTCTGGCCAAGGAGCCAGTGGTGAGTGTCAATTGCACGGCAGTGTGCACAATAGCACACCAGCCCCTTGCTCGTGTCATCAGATCTGCTTAGCCAATGTCTACCTGAGGGACACCCAGAAGCAGTGAAGATGTACGTAATACTGGATCCTCAGAGCAACCACTCGCTAGCAAGATCTGCATTCTTCGGCCTCTTTGATGTTCTGAAGGAAGAGGTGCACTTCACTATATCAACGTGCACCACACCACGAAGCATGGTGGGGAGGAGAGCTACTGGACTGTGCATAGATGGGAGTTCCCTATTCCCACTGCCGCCTGTGTTAGATACCAGGGATACCAGACGACCACAGCAAGATTGCAATGCCAGAGGTAGCAAGCAACATACCTCACCTGAAACACATGGCTCATCACTTTCCCGCCTTAGATCCTGAAACCAAGATTTTGCTCTTGCTGGGAGTAGATGCCCGACACTTTAGCTTGCATTGAAGTAGTCAGAGGCCCGAGAGGCTCTCACTTTGCCTTCAAAATAGAACTGGGATGGGGAATCTCAGGAATAGTCTGTGTCCATCGGATACAGGCCCCAACCCAGGCAAGTACCTTAGCTTCCTCCGTTCTCCAGAATGAGAGACCTTCTCATTTGAAACTGTGCCAAGAATACTTCATGCTTTCAACAGTCAAACCCATCTTAGGTGAGGCACTGTTTCAGACTACCAAAGAAGAAAAACGACTTAGCCTTGTCTATTGAGGACAAGAGGTTCCTACAGATCATGTATAAGGAATTTCAACAAGATGAAACCGGTAGTTGGGTTGCTCCACTACACTTTCGCTCACCCAGACAATGCTTGCCAAACAACCAACAATATGCGCTCTCTCGCCTCTTTAGTTTGAGACGACTCATGAACCGAAAGCCAGAGATGAAATCTCATCTGGTGGAGTTCATGGACAAGATGATACAGAACAGACACGCTGAACCGGCCCCACCCCTGGAGACAGACGAAGAATGTTGGTACCTACCGTTCTTGGGAGCGTACCACCCACAGAAACCAGGCCAAATACGTATAGTCTTCGATGCCAGCACACAGTTTCAAGGTCACTCTCTGAACAAGGCCCTTCTTACAGGACCTGATCTCACGAACAGTCTCCTTGGGGTGCTCATCCGCTTCAGAAAAGAAGCCATAGCCATTATGGCCAACATACAGCAGATGTTCTATTCCTTCCTCGTACGGAAAGATTACCGCAACTACCTCCGTTTCCTCCGTTTCCTGTGGTTCAGCGATGAACAGCACAACCAACGGATTTTGGAATACAGAATGAGGGTGCATGTCTTTGGCAATGGCTCTTCCCCTGCAATCGCGAACTACGGTCTACAACATACAGCTCGAGAAGGGGGAGACAAATACAGAGCAACTAAATGCTTTGTAGAACACGACTTCTACGTGGACGGCTTGAAATCTGTTCCCATCCCAGCGGAGGCCATAGACTTCTTGAAGAATACACAGCAAATGCTAAGGACGGCCAACCTCAAGCTACATAAGATAGCTTCCAATAGTGAAGAAGTACTAAAGGCTTTTAATCCCGAAGACCATGCCAAGATATTGCAAGACCTTGATTTCGGCAGCGATGCCCCCTTTATCCAACTCAGTCACGGTTTGTGGTGGGACTTGAAGAAAGACTTCTTCACCTTCAAAACCCCAGCCCTAAAGATTGACTTCACGAGGAGAGGAGTGCTGTCAACGGTTAACAGCCTGTTCAATCCTCTAGGGTTTGCAACTCCTATCAGCATTCAAGGTAGAATACTACTGCACACGCTCGCCCAAAACACCAAAGATTGGGATGAACCGCTCCCACCAGAACAGAAGCAAGAGTGGGAGATATGGTGCAACTCTCTAGGCTGTCTCCAAGACATTCACCTACAGCGTACGTATGTTCCCATCTCACCGGTCACGGCACAAATAAAGGAGCTGCATGTCTTCTCCAATGCATCCACGAAGGCAGTTGCAGCCGTGGCTCACCTCAAGGTCTATGGCAGGGAGAGCGACGTGCATGTCGGATTTGTCATGGGAAAGGCAAAACTAGCACTGCAACTGGGTCACACCATTCCATGGCTGGAACTTGGCAGAGCTGTGCTGGCCGTAGACCTAGCAGATAAAATAACGAAGTTGATAGATCTTCAGTTAGAACTGTTTCAGGAAATTCCAAATTGGATAACTTAGTACGAGCCATGGCTTGTAATGTTCTATAAACGAGTTATGTTGTGGCCTGTAAGGTGCAGAACGTTTATGCTCAACACCAGCTAATTTTAACATAGTTTGGAATCTATTGTTAATAAACTCAGTCCCATTATCAGTAACTAAAGTAATTACTCTAAGTTTCATTTTTCCTTCTGCAAACCTTAGCCAATTAAAGAAATGTTGGAATGTTCTGTTTTGTTTTTCATTAGATAGCAGAAACCGTACCGTGAGTAATGGTCCATTATACTCACAGGCACCTCCCAAGCTGGGTTTTTTAGGACCAATTATGTCAGCAAACACAACCTCTAAAGGTTCTTTGCTTTTAAACCCATTCAGTCTGTTTGCTGGAGTAACCATGCTTTTCTCCTGACTACAGGCATTACAGTTTAAGTACTTACTACAGGGTTTTAATTTTACTCCCTCTGACAATTTAACAGTTTATTTAAGCATTTTGAAATTAATGTACCCCAGACGTTTATGCAGTAAATGTATACATTTGTCATGTGTCTTAACATTTTTATAAACTGAGTTAGCCATCTGCAACTGGTCATCATGTATAACATATAAATCATTTTCTAAAGTAGCAGTAACACTTTTACCCTCTTTCTCTATTATACATTTATCTCCCCTAAAGGTTACTACATAACCAATATTAACTAAAGCCCTTACTGATAACAAATTAAATTTCAGTTTAGGTACATATAACATAGATAAATACTCATTTACACATGAACAATATGCAGTACCTTCACCAGACGCTTTCATCTTCCATCCGTTTGCCAATGATACATGTTGCTTACTCGTGGACATTGTTACAAACCTCCCTCTATTTTTAGTAATACACTGCGATGCTCCACTATCAACTACCCACAAATCATGGTTTGTAGTTGAATTGCTAGATATAGCTAAACTAACATTCTTCTTAGCCTTCTGGTGATTACCAGTATTCTGTCATTTTCCCTTCTTACAGAATCTAGCTATATGTCCCTTAGCCCCACAAGAAAAACATTTCCTAACAGTATAGGCAGTTGAACACAAATCCTCTTCTTGTGGTTGTTTCTTTCTCAGTTGATCCCTATCCAGCCGTCTTCTTGCCTCTTCT